CTGAGGAACACAGTGGACCAGTGCCTCTCGGATGCCGGACTTGCCCTTCACCTTCAGGTCGTCGCAGTAGACCTCAACAGCCTTTCGCAGCACTGCATGTCGTCGTTCGACCACAGCCAGACGTTCATGTGCCTCTCCGGGAGCCACTACGTGCTCAATGCCGTGGGATGCAGTCCACTCATCGAAGTGTTGACTGAGCCAAGGACGGCCTTCATCGGTGATCAACTGCTGTGGAGCACCAAAGTGTGCAATCCATGACCGCTCCAGTGCCTTGACATAGTCGGCGGTCTGTTCTGACTTGAGCAGGTAGGCAGAGACATAGCGAGTGGCCAGGTCGATCATGGTCATGACTGGATGCTTGACGCCATCTTGCCGGATCCAGAAGACATCTGCCTGGAGAATCTGGTTGAACGAAGTGGAGGAAGGCATCGCTGCAGGTGCAGTGCCATTGGGTTTCTTGTACTTGGCACAGGCGGTGCAGACATAGGTGCGAGCGGCTTGCAATGCTTGCAAGATGGACTCACTTGCTCCTCGTGCTGCCAGAAGATCAGTCAGCTCGGAAGGTGCCGGGTGGCCAAGATTGCGATGGAGTCTCTGAACCACACGGATGGCGTCCTGCTTGGTAGTTGCTCGCAACTGAACCAGCTTGGATGTAACTTCTTTCTGCTCTTCGGTGGCGAAGACATGTTCCCAGACTTGAGGTGGTTCATCCAGGCTCAGAGCGGCAGTCAGTGTGCTAGCCATCGCAGGTTGGTACTCCTCCATGTAGCGAGTGCGTGCACCAAAGCCAGGAGCAGAGCCTTCCAAGGCACAGTGTTGATGATCTCCTTGACATTGCAATGTCATCGCATCTTGTACTGCCTGTTTTGTGGTGAGCAGTGAGGTGCGCTTTCGGACTGGTCGCCAGTGACCATCATCATCCAAGCAAGTAGCCCCATAGCGGCATTGATCGAAATCAGCACGTCGGCCGGGCAAGGAGCGAAGAGCTTGGGTTTTCCATGACAAAGCTTCTTTTGGTTGCTCCAGGTGTGCATGGCGTCCACCATCAACTTGTTTCAGGTAGGCCTTGCGGCAGAACTTGAGAGATGCCGATCGTGATGGTGTTGTCTTGCGGCCATGAGAGCTTCTTGTTGTGCTGGAGTGCGTCTTGCCAAAGTCTGCATGCGGCTCCAAAGCTTGCATTCAGGTGCCAGAAGCACTTCATCGGGCATTTCTTGGTCCTGCAGATCGAGGAAGGCTTGTTGATGGTGAAGGAGCTCGAAGTTCCAGCCTGTCTCGGGACCAAACTTGCGAACAGTCATGCCCAGTGATTCGGCCACTTCAGCAGTGCGAGCCGTTCCACAATACACTTCCCATAGGACTCGCTGTTTTGCTTGTTCTGGTTGATGAAGTTGGCTGGTGACATAGGCAGACATCTCTGTAGATGGGTGGTCAGCTGTACGTCCATGGTCTTGAGTTCGTGACGCTTGAGCTGTCGCATGCCTTCGCTGGGCTCGTCGTTGACCTGGTCAAGGCTCACGAAGCCGTGCTCGGAGTGCTCAAAGTCGGCAAGGAGGAAACCGTCAGTCTGATCCATATCAGGTTCAGCTGTCCTCAAGGTGAACTCTGGTCTCTCCGGGTCGTAGTGGATGAAGTCGTGATCTGAGGTGAGAGACAACAGATATTCTCCTTGCCGGCCAATCGTGGCTTCGGTCCAGCCAGAGCTTCCAATGCGAATGCGCTTCATGGCGAAGTCCATTGTCACGCCGAGCGACTCTATGATGGGTCTGCCACAGAGCATGGGGGTGTTGCCAGGCAACAGGAAGAGCTGAATGGTGCCATAGCGTCCATCCACAAACACTGGTAAGTGTGCCGACCAGCTGGACCACGATGCAGCGTCACCGCCGAATTGGAACCGGCGTCGACCTTGTGTCATGCAAATCTTCTCCACGGGGAAGCCACACTCTTGCAGGTGTTGGAGATATCGTCGGAAGGGCTGGTACCCCGAGAGAAAGGCGCTAGCGCCTGGGTCCAACATGAGGCAGTCCGGTCGTTCATTGCCGGAGCTGTCTTGGAAGGTCAACATCGTGATCTCGGAGGCTTCATCGTCAAAGGCCTGGGCCATGCTTTCAGTTGGAGCTGGTCGCTTTTGACCACTTGACTTCGGTGAGGCCGATTGAGGACAGTTTGCAGCCCAATGTCCCTGTTGACCGCAGCGTAGACACGTCATCGCTGCTTTGGCACGTTCTTTATAAATCTGACTTTCCAGCACCCTGGAGGATACCGGATGGTATTACTCCCCTTTCCTTTGTTCTTGCCCCCTTTACCTTTTCCTTTTCGCCAGGTAGTTGAGCTCGAAGATGATGAGGCAGGTGCAGCTGTCATCGGCTGTTGTTGATCGGTCAGGGCCACCACCGGGAGGAATCCTCTGGACACTTTGAGGTCGTTGAACCGCTTACGGTTACGAGCATCCGTGTAGCTTGCAAAGGCTGTGTCAAACTCTTCAGCCAGGTGCTCAGGGCTTGTTTCGTTGGAATCTTCAGCCATCCAGGGATCCTCACCATAGTAGCCAGCATCATCATCGAAAGCTGGCTCTTCTTCATAGTCTTCAACTGGCCAATCATCTTCATAGTAGCCGGTGTCTTCGGGCCATGGTTCCTCCTCCCAATCCCACTCATCATGTGCGGCATAGGCTCGACCAGACCATTTGCCGAAGCGCTTGTTTCTGTCATGGTTCCACCCACCAGACTTACAGTCTTGACCGAGGATCAGGTAGAGCGCTTCAATGACGGCCTGTTTCTCTAAGGAGGGAGCCTTCAGCATGACGAGTTGTCTTTGCTCCTTGGTGAGCGATGCACGGCGAAGCAAGTGCCATCCTTGGACAGGATCGCTTGCGGTAGGACTCCTCATAGTCGCCCACATACATCAGCAGGGTCTGTCCAGGTTGGCGCTGCAACAAGTTGAAGTAACCTTCAAAATCAGTTGGCAGCTGTACACGCTGATCGTAGGCGTAGTTGCCATCGAGAATCACCAGCATCTTCTCAAAGGCGTCCTCCTTCTCGAGTTGCTCCAAGCTCCAATCCTCAAAGAGGCGCCAGACAGCACCACGAAAGCTGCCGACGATGTTCAGCACGCTCTCTTGAGCTCTTTTGGAGACGCTCATCTTTCGGTGGCCGAGCTGGATGCGCTGTCGCCATTCTTTGTAGTCAGCTGGTTGTCCTGAGAACAGTGGAACGAAGGAGTCCCGTAAGTCGGCATAGCTGTTCTCCTCTTTGGATGTCATCGAACTGGAGCCGGGTTGTGTGGCTTGTCCTCTTCCTCGCTGTTGTCCCTTCTTCTGAGACATGCGCCGGAGTGGCGGATGCCAAGATCCTTCCCGTAGGGTGTTCCACAAAGAACTCAGCAAACAAGATCGGGAAGGAACCCACAAAGGGAAGGTGACGAAGACCTTGGTACCAGCGATCAGCTCGAGGTCGTTGTAGCAGAGTGCGCGCGGGAGCCCTCACCCAGACCCGGGTTCGGGCTCCGCTACCAATGTAGAAATGCCAGTGGCAAACGAAGTCCGCTGACAAGGGTGCCAAACCAAGCTGCAGGAAAACACGAAGTAAACCAAAGCGAAGGTTCGAACGGCACACGATCGAATTGAAGGGCAGCCGAAGCCGCCGCGCCCGGGTCGCCCGTTTTCACTCATTTGAGCCCACCCTCTCCGGATGGGTGCATAGGGTTCATCTCAACCGCATGTTACACAGCGTGTAATTCACAATAATGTTTTTTTGGGGCTTATGAAGTGATTACAATATTTTGGTGAATTAATGAATGATAGTATGGTTGGTGAATTGGACACCTACCGGCACCCTCCAACAGGTCTCCTCTGGAGGCTTTTGCTGACCTAAAAGTCGCAAGTGGTGACCTGTTGGAGGGTACTGGTAGGAACCTCCCGGGGATCCTTAAACCATCTTAAACCCGTTTTGACGGCGCAGTGTAGGAACTGGGTCTCCTCACATGGACACTCTTAGCAGCTTAGCCCGGATGAGGTGGAGCTCCGGGCGTTACTCGCGGAGAAGGAGCTGAGATGACATCCATAGGGCGTCCCCTTGAATCATCGGCAAGTTGTAGAGGAGTCGTTGCCCATGATCAAACATTCGGAGGCTGGGAAGGACGAGGAAGAGGCTTCTACTTAGTCTCCTTTCCCTGTGGCTGGAGTCAGCAAGCTTGAGTAGCGGTGGGAAAGTCATTTTTGATGTGACTTCTAACTTCTAACCATGTTTTCTTGCGGTCATTTCCTGCCTTGCTCTGTGAAGCTCAGCGTGTGACATGGAAGGGGCAGGTCTTCATTTGTACGTCTTTTGTTCTTCCAAGGCCTCCAAGTTTTCCAAAGCTCGGCACACGCCTTCGGGTCATGTCCAAGTTCCTTCCGGTCTCTCTCGGGGGATCGAGTCTGGCTGTAGGAGGCTCTTCAAGCGCGAATGGCCAGGCGAGGGGGGGCAAGGCGAGGGGGGGCAAGGCGAGGGAGATGGTAGAAGTCCCCGTAGAAGTGGTGAGTGATACCTTTAGTTGGGACAACATTTGGTAGGCTTCTGGCCTAGAGCACGGGCTTGCTGACTTAGCAAAGCGACTTCTTTTGGATTTTTTGGGGCACTTTGAGGATGAAGATTGCCTGTGCTTTGGGTTGCCACGTTGATAAGCACGCCCGACACCGACACCCTTTTGCAAGCATGCCTCGTGATCATTCGTGATCGAGATACAAACGAACTACACCGAGCTCAGGTTTGTGGGCATGATGCAATGTGCAATATTTTTTTTGGTGTAGCAGTGTAGCACATGATTAAAAATCATTCACTATTTGCATGCGGAGTCATTTGCCTGACAGAGCCTGTCGGCTCAAAAGGTTCGTGTAATCCGATTGCGAACTGAACACTTCGACCCGCCTCGGCCAGTTGCGCCTGGCGCGGAAACTGGCGCGTGAGGTCGTCCAAAAGGCTTTTCGACAGTCCCTTCAGGAAGGCCTGACCTGACCTGGGATGAACCCTTATTCCATGTCCAAGCCCAGCTATGGCGCCGCCAGTGGCCCGACGAACAGCGGCCCCATCTCGCTGGTGATTAGCACCGTGCAGTTAGCGCTGCTGATGCTGGCGCCCTGGGCCTTCTTTGCCACCTTGACCTGGGCGCTCATGAGCAGATGGGCCCCTCGAGTGAGTTGTTCTGTGTTCACCGACGCGTCCGAGGTCGCGTTCGCGCATTAGACGTGCACCGTTGTTTTCTCTTTCAGGAGGACAACCGCCGGTGGAATTGCCCCTTCTCCGCTTGGTGAGCACCCACACAAAGGTGAAGCAGTGATTGTGCAGGTGCTGCTTCCTCAAAACCGGTGATCATGGGGTCATGTGATTTCAACTGTTTCTGGCTTCAGTTCCTCATTCTTGGCAGGTTTTGTTGTTGGTGCTTAGAGAACCCTTGTTTGCAGTGATTCGTGCTTACTGTTTTGTTTGATTCCCCAAGGGCCTTCTTTGGCATTTGCTCCGTTTCTAGGTCTTCCATGGCCTTCCGCCAAGCACCCAAAGGAGCGAAGGGGCATCGAACACGTCAACTGAACGAACCATCCGATCCTTCTTCAGGTCCATTTGTACCATTCGATCCGCTTGGTGGTCTTGTGCTTCTTTGGATCCCTAGTGGTGCTGCTGATGGTCTGTGCTGCCATGTGCCGCGTGCAGTGGCTGCGCAAGGGCGGGAGGATTGGGGAAGCTGAGCCACGTGACTTGGAAGCGACCGTGGAGTGTCGAGGGTGAGGGGCACTTCGATTGTCTTGTGTCAGAGGCTTACGATAGTTTGGCGCGTCTTTCTCAGTGTCCTTTTTTTCCTCCTCTCTGGTGGAGTAGACATGCAACCAAGTACTTGGGTAGTAGCTCTTGCAGGTTCGACCTTTTTGTCACCTGCCGCAAGAATAAGCGCAAGTGCGCTCTTGCTCACATACTTAGGCCTTTTGCGCGCATACTTCTGGTGGGGAGGTCTTGCAGTCCTTTGCTTAGTGGCCTTTATTGCAGGATCGGTCGTTGGAACGATGATTGGAGACAGCTCCTTGGATGGACAAAGCGGGGGCTCCAGTGAGACAGCCAAGGGCAAAAGGGGGCCTGGCTTGAAACACGCGGCGAAAGGGGACTTCTTAGCGCTGCCTTCCGGTTTGTGCTTCATTCTTGGCAGTCGCGACCTGGGAAGTCCAAGCCACTAGCATGATCCAGACTGACTGACCGCGCCAGTCGCCCTGTCGAGGCTACATGAAGAAGTACTACAGCATCACTGACTTGGACTTCTATGACAATGTCGCCTGGCAGGGGCGGTTTGAATGCTGGCAGGGGTAGAACTCCAGAAAGGCAACAGGAACTTTGCAAGCAGCAGAAGCTGCAACATGCAGTAGAATGTCACTTGAAGACAGAACAATTAGTGCTGCATTTTTCGCATTAGATCCGAAGGGATGCGATCAGAGAGGTCCTTGCTCTTCTTCTTTTTGCCACATCCACCAATATACCTTCCAACGTTAGCATCCCTTCCGTGGTCTTAGCTCTTCCTGCTGATGCAACCTATCCACCGTGTGTATATATATATATATTACATAGAGAGGGGTATATGAATGTACATATATATATATATACACACATATATATATACACATACACATGTATACGCACACTATTTATATACTATATATATATATGTATACATAAAACATGCACGTCACGTAACATTTTGATATTGCTTCATCCACCTCCTGGCAGGTCAATCCAGCGCGCAGTTTCGGAAAAGAGATGTTGGATGCAGGGCGAGTGATCTTCACCAAAGGATCTCGCTTGGACTACCACCGGAGCTTTGCGCACTTGGGCGCTCGTGGAGTCGGGAACCGGATGTGGCAAAGTGCAGTGCAGGACGACCCCGAGAAAGTAGTAGCCGTGCGCTTTGCCCCCCTGTCCACAACGTCACCCTGTAAAGGTAGGAGTAGGAGTAGTAGCAGCAGCAGCAGCAGCAGTAGTAGTAGTAGTAGTAGTAGTCGTAGTCGTAGTCGTCGTGGTGGTGGTGGTGGTGGTGGTCGTGTCTCTGACCTGTCCTCCTCTACTTTGCTGTGCAATCAAGTATTCCGAGGCATCAGAACGGCTCCACCTTCTGCGTGGTGCCCATCATCGCCGCCAACGACCAAGCGCTGCCAGCCACCTTCGACTTTTGGGCGGCTGGGAAGGACTGCTGTGGGGAGACTGGAGCAGGCTTCGCCTGTGGGGCAGCCAAGAGCGCCGTGGCACGGGGTGGCTTGAGGCGCGGTGTTGGTAGTGATGGTAGTGCTGGTAGTGGTGGGTGGTTCGACAAGCATTTTCTGAAGGGTGGAGGGGATGAGACTTGAGGATAGGAGTCTTTCTTCTTTCTGTCTTGGTGTGGCCAGGCTGCTTGACCCAGCAGATGAGCCTTGGGCAGCAAGCTTCCTCGCGTGCTTTTGCTTTGCTTTTCTATATTCTATATGATTTGCGTGACATGTTGCCGTTGGGCTTGTCAGTGATGCTAATTGCAGTGGAGGCCACAACACATACAAAGGGTTTCCACTTGGATTCTTGTTGTATCTAGTTTACCTGCAGACTCTGTTGATGACCCTCCGCCTATCGTACATGAGTCTTCTTGGCAACTTTTTTCATGCTGAAACGACCCTTGTCGTTGTTGGCCTAGGAGTACAACTACCGGCAGGCGGTTCGCTTTGCAGAAGTGGGCTTTCACCTCGAATCCGTTCACCCGCTCTTCTTTGAGTGGACTGCGAATCCCATTGGGGACATGAGTGTTCCGCGAGAGGAAGCCTTTGCGATGTACTTCATGACCAACTTAGTGCAGCTCGGAGGACAAAACTCTTTTTGGACCACCCGAACGTCAATGGCCGACCGTGAGCCTTATATAAACAAAGTAGAGTCTACTATAAGATCTTGGGTTCGGTGACTTGCCATGCCCTGAGGTTCTTGCTTGGTACCTTCCTTCTGGTGGTGGTTGGCTACGTCTGCTTCCTGCGCGCGAAGAATTAAACCCCCTCCGCTGAGCAGAGAGCCGACCGACCGCCCCGAGAAAGAGAGAAAATGCGTCACACGCTGTCCAGGCTAAAGACCGAAGCTCCATCTCGTCCCCATCTGGTCGGCTCATTTGGTTGGTCTTAAGATGGAGTTCTCTCAGAGAGAGAGAGAGAGAGGGCGAGGAGTGAGGAGTGAGGGGGCGAGGAGTGAGGAGTGAGGAGTGAGGAGTGCGAGTGAGAGTAAGTGCAATTGAAAGCGGCAAGCAGTAGATTCATCTATTGGGAACTCCTTTGGAGAGATGTTCCCACACGCAGGCTGGACAACTCCCTAGCAGGCTTCGAGGCCGATGTGTTCCGTTGGGGCGAGGACTGCGGGGAGGGTGCCGGCTGGAGAGCGGTGTGAAGCATCCTGAAGCAGAATCAGTGTTTTGGGTTTGCTGATTTTCCCAAACTGCTCTTCACTGATGCGATACACTCCGGCTTGACCATGTCGAGTTGGCACTTGAAAGGGCATCCCGGCAATCCGGTGGCGACAATAACTACTGACCTCCCATTGACGGGGTGCTCCGAAACACACTGAGCTGGTCGTAGCCACTTTGCAATCTTGCAAAAGAGATGGTTCCTCTGATCTGAACTTCACTATTTGTCAAACATCGCAGCTGCCACGCCATGAACTCATCAGGACATCCGCATCGACAAGGAGCTGTTGGGCGACGTGGATTGGGATGCTGGCATCGTCTCGCGACCGCAAGCAGCGCAAGTGAAGTTTCTCGCTGCTTGAGTTGAATAAGGGTGGAGCCCTATGTGTGTATATATTTTTGTATAGATAGTCATCGAGAACCTGGATGTTTCTTTTGGAGGAGATTTGCGTGAGGGACCTGGCACAAATTCACGACTGCTTTCGGACACGCCGGCAAACATAGAACCCGAACACGCCGACTTGCTCCAGAGGTCTATTTTCGATTTGACTACACCATTCTGTCAGTCCATGGGTGTGTTCTCTGACTCTGACTCTTCCCCTTGATTGGGGATCGCGGTCACGTTGGCCGTTGCCAGTCACTCTGCTGGCCGAGGACATCGACTGTGATACATCACCTGAAGCCTCCAGGCAGGGGAACGTCGCCGAGAGAAGAGTCCAAGAGCTGAGGCTAGCGGCCAGCGGCTATCACACTAGCTCACTGGGTCAGAAGTTGCCTCGCGTTGCCAGGTGCAGCCCTCAAACAAGCCTGAGTGGCGACCTGAGGGCGGCGCCAGGGATCAGTGAGAATGTCCAGTGAGAGGTCCTCTGTCCGACTCTGTCCTACCATTGATGGGTTCCCCCCAAACAGTGTACTGTTGGGGGTTCTCTTTGAGGAAGGACGGGGCTGGCCATGATAGCCAACGGTGATGCAGCGCTTCATGGTTTGTTTTTTGTGCACATGCCGTTCCCAAACAACTGGAGGCTATAGTTGCGATGTCGGACGGACCCTCCCTTCGGACGGATCTCATTTCATCATTTTGCTTCCGCCTTCCGTTGGCTCCTGGATCTATCTAGGTCATTTTAGAAACTACTTGGTTTTGCATGTTATAAACGAAAATACCTGTCCCCCTCATTTTATAAGCAGCAATGGTTTATCATGCAAAATCGCAGCGCCTATGAACAATCAAGGGGGATGGAATAACGACGTTTCCACCAACATTGGGATTCAAGAAATTGCCGCCCAAAAAACCTGCTGAAGCTGTGGTTGGCCGACCTTCCACAGAATGGGGTTTGCATTCATCCTGACGGCAGGGAAGCAACGGGTTGGAGTTCTCTTTTTGAGAATCATGTTGGAGCTTGCGCTTGGAGTTCTCGCGCGTGGGGATGGGTCGTGACCCAGCTGGATGGGAGGGGATCAGCCCACCATGTAGCGAAAGAGGTATCCGGGTGCCATCACCCACAGCCACATGATTATGAGGATGTTTCTTTCTTTCGCGATCTCTCAGGTGCTTTGATGGACACCTTGCGGCATGCCTCGCCCGAGGAGAAGCCGTGGCGCTGTGGTGGTGATTGGCGGTGAACATCCTGTAGACGAACTAAGGCAGAAGAAGGATAGCCCCAAGTGCCTTATGTGACCCGGTGCAGCACGTGTAGTTGACAAGCCTTGATTTCCAGAAACGGATTTCTTTTCATGGCTTTACTTTCTTTGATGCGATCCTCAACGGGATTTCGGAAGTGGATGGGCCCCCCAGGTCTGGGTCCATTGGTCCTCTACCAACTGGGGTTTCTCCACTTCCAGGGGCAGTCGGACCGTCCGACCCCCGCCAGGAGCGGCGGCTGCGCATCGCGCGGATTTCGCAGGAAAATTTCTTGGAGCTCATTGGGCACCTCGATGAGGCGACTCGGGTGTATGCCATGGGAGCTATGCCATGGGAGGTGGTATGCCCTGGGAAGGACATGATGGAAGGAGAGGATTTCCTGATGGTTTCTGTTCCACTCCTCTCTGGTTCCAGTGCACGGCTCAGAATCTCTTCTTGGGATTAGCAACGCAGAGAAGCAACTCAGACTCAATGCTCCAGGCTCCAGGTGCCAGAGGGGGGGTACAGGACCCCCTCGCCACGTTCCAAAACAGCACCCAAAACAACCCCAAGCAGCATCCGACCTCTGGTTCTCAGTTTTTTACTTTGTGCCTTTCCTAGGTTTGGTTGTAGGGTCCTGGCAGGCGGAGAGCGTCGACCTGGAGTCAGACGCTGAGGTGACGCAAGCATGCGGGGCTGGAGAGGTCGTGTTTTTTTTCTCTCCGGATGAAAACACAGCTCAATCAAGTCAAGAGTCCAAAGCATTGTGATTTGTTTCTCTGAATTCACATCGATGGCGCCATAGAATGTGTGCGGATGCACATCGAAGTGGACTTCTTCACAGCACCTCAAAGCACTGGTTGGTGTCAGATATGTCAGACTTCAGTTGGTGGCCGTGTCGCGCCCAAATCGATAGTGGATTCTTTACATGACCTGTACATCACGGTATGTTCATGATAAAACACAATTAATTCGGCTGCCAGCTGTAGCTGACTTTGGCTCACACCACGAGTGCGGAACTCTCGACCTTTTGCCACGATGATGCGAGCCTGGGCAGCGTTTTTTGTTCAGAAGATGCCGAAAGGTTGACCAGCTGAACCGAATCACAGACCTCAAATAGCACTCTCTTTGGTGAAGTCGTTTGACATCCATGCAATGGAGGGGAGATGCGTGGTTTCCATAGAATACGCACACAGAGTCAATATAGAAAAAACATAACATATATATACACTGTATATATATGGTATATATAATATACGCTGTGTATATATATATATATATACATTTTTGATTGTTTGCACATCTATGTGAGCGGAGATGTTGCCCACGCCCACGACCGGTCAAGAAACCTTTGAGGATCGGCCCCCGGTTTTTCCAGCGTCGATCGCCATCCAGTCATATGGTTCCTTCTCCCGGCGACTCTTTTCCCCTTCTCCAGCGATCAGAGCTGTGTTTCATTTTCGATTTGCCAAATCTCTCTCTCTCTCTCTTCCTTTTGTTCCACCGAGGTGCTCTCATTTTGTCCACGTTTCTGGCCGGCGCGCATGCGTACGCCCGCACGGCACAATCCGTGTCCGGCAGTGTGGTGAAGGAAGCAGGGAACCTGACGATGGGTGGCATGATTGGCACTTACACTGTGCTACTTCAGGTGGGGGGTTTCAGAATTGGATCGAATCATGTTGGCCCTCTAAATACTTTGCGAGGTCGTCATTTCATCTCCCTCTCATGTACCAGAAAGGCTTTGGACCAAAAGCTTCAAGTCGCTCTGTGCGTCGTCCTCGTCACACCTCGACTTACGAGGTGATCAATCCGGGCGTCGGGGACCTGTCGTTGTTGGTGGAGTGCTGTGGTGCAGCAGCGCACTTGGCGGATGAGATCGCCTGGAAGGTCAACACCAACCAGTTCACCAGAGGTCCAGGTGGCTCTCCAGAGGATGAGATCAAGAAGCAGTATGTCTCAGAGGGCAAGTGTAGTACCCCCGGAGCGCTCGATGCCTTGACCCGACAGGGCAACGCCACCTGCAACTACTTGTACAACTTCAAGAACAAGGCCTGGAAGGAGTACGCGTACACGTCCATGTGCGTGCCTTCGGATGTGTGTGCCGTGGACGTGGCGGGCTCGACCAAGGGTCTGAAGTTGACCTACACCGTGGTGTTGCAGATCCTGAACAAGCAGGCGGGAGACCTGATCTATGCCGGTGAAGGGCCCATCGGAAGTTGTTTGACCGGCATGAACACGGTGAACCGAGCCAACATCTCGGGCTTCAAGAAGGAAGTGCCCAACTACTTGGACATTTTGGGGACCAAGATTCAGGTTGGAAGCAAGGAAGTGGTTGAACTTGCGGGCATGAAGCAGCTGGACCCTCTGGAGATGTTGAGCCCATGTAAGAACATCTCATCCACCGGAGTCCTGTACATCTTCAAGAACAAGTTCTGGAACAAGGATCAGAGCTTTCTGAACATCACGGACTACGATCAGAAGGCGGCGGATCAGGAGATGAAGGAAGACTATAAGGCGCTCATGGAATACCCAGTGCCCGGTCAAGAGAAGGCCAAGCCTGAGAAGAAAGAGAAGAAGGCCAAGGCTCCAAAGGACAGGGGTCTATCCTGCATTCGAAGATGTTCCAAGGGCATTTTGACACGAAAGTTCTGAGTTCTGGTATGTTGCTGGTGGGCGTGGGCCCTCGCACCCCCAGGTAGTTCCCAGGTAGTTTCCAGGTAGGCAGCTGTGCGACAGCTAGAAAGAGGGAGTTGAGACCACATCACAAGTCATACAAGTAGCGCATCACTTCACCCATTAGGACCCCCAGGATGCATCACTAGGAACTCGGGGTTCTTACTCACTTCACCGCAAGCACAAATAGACAGACGGAAACCTTACGACGAACCACTTCACCACACGACACTTTGCATACGGTTATACAGAGCACACACGGTCACATATCTATCTTATATATTTATATCTATATCATTCTATATCGATATATGTACATATATAAATGCTGCTTCAAAAACGCCAAAAACACTTGTGGTTGTTTTTGTACCACACTCCACTCGCAGTACATTTCATACACCACAAGCAACCACATTGCACATGACCATGTCACAGGCTCAAAGGCTCAAAGATCCGCCATATTATACGTTTCACCACACATACCGCATTCCACCTTGCGACCTTGCACTTCACCTTGCAGCTTTCGACCTTGCACTTCACCACGTGCACTTCACCTGGTCCGTCTCAGACCATACGCGTCCACCAGGGCGACCCCAAAACCAGCACACAGCAAGAACCGCGATCAGTGGACTGCCCTGAGCGCTCTCCGCGCCACGTGGCGCGGCCGCCGAGCGGTGAATGGTCACGGCATGTCCCATTGGTTGAAGCTCTCCGCCCTATCAGTTGCTGATAATTCCTCGTGATGGAATCATGCAGGCGAGGGCCGGTGGCAGGTTCCTCGATTGTTCCACAGAGATGCCCTGTTCAAGAGTCACCATTGTGCGTTGACCGTCTTTTGCTGGCTTATCAGGATGGTTGAATTACTTTGGGTCATGCGGTGGAAGGTTCCCAGGGAACCATCTTCAGGAGTCCAAGGGTTCCAAGGACGACTCGGACGACGTGGGCGAGGCGTTGGGCGGCCTCTTGTCGGGGATCTTTGGTGGGGACGACAAGGGGAAGAAGCCGAAGGGCGCTGCTACAGAGCCATGGCAGAGATTTAGAGAGTCTCTTATGAACCAGGGAGGTTTCTGGCGGCCAGACAGGCAAATGCATCGTGGTTTTTAACCTTACCTAACCGAGCAGCACAAAGGGAGGCACCAGGTTAGCTTGAAAAGTGGGGCCTCCACTGTGGCCCATACCCTGTTTTAGCGCAGGGAAGTGCAGGATGTCTCTTTCCAAGCCTTCTGGGCCCCTTTCCCCCCTGTTCTGCTCAGATGTGATCGCTCTGTTCTGCTCAGGAGTCTAAGGATTCTGATGACTCCAAGGATGACCTTGGCGAAGCCCTGGGCGGCCTTTTGGGCGGCCTCTTGGGTGGTGGCGACAAGGCGAAGAAACCGAAGAAGGAGCACGCCGCATCCCAGACCACCGAAGAAGCTGCTGCCCCCACGGAAGAAGCCGCAGCTTCCACTGATGCCAAGGGCTTGGATCTGTTGAAGGGCTTGGGGGGCGCCCTCGCTGAGGTCTCGAAAAAAGTGGCCCCCAAAGATGAAACTGAGGAACCAGAGGTGTCTGCCGAGCCCGCTGTGCCGGCCACGCCCGCTGTGCCGGCCACGCCTGCGCTGCCCACGGCCACGGAAGCTGAGGCAAAGGCCCAGGAGGCAGCTGATGAGATGGCGGCAGCTGCCAAGAAGCTGGCTGCTCAGACCAAGGCGGCCGCAGACAAGGCTGCAGCAGACGCCAAGGCGGCTGCAGACCAGGCTGCGGCAGATGCCAAGGCGGCCGCAGACAAGGCTGCAGCAGATGCCAAGGAGCTTGCTGCTCAAACAAAGGCGGCGACTGAGAAAGCTGCCAAGGATGCTGCAGACACGCTTGCTGCTC